ACTTGATACTTAGTATCAGCACAAGTCCAGATCCATTAACAAGGTTACAACATGAACAATGGTTATCTAGCTAGGATATGGGTCTAATAAATCAGACTGTTTGTCCTCCTAAAACACGGTGTTGGCATATTTTTAAAAAATATATACGGTAGATTTGTGATGGGGCTGGAATTATAAAATGCCGCATGTTTCTAAAAAGAATTTCCATATAAGAATTGCAAGACTAGGTAATTGTGTCTTGCGGTTGCTTTACTTTCACATCTGCTCCCTTTGGATATATGATTCCACTAGAGCAATTGAGTGTAACATTAGAAGTGCAGACTGAGTCTTGATCCCTGCTTTAGCTAGAATGGAACAGATAATCTTACATTTTATTTCTAGTTCGTCTGCGTTGGTGGCAGCCCGAACAGAATGAAAGCTTTTGCTCAGTTCATGCACAAAGAACTTGGACTTGAAGGAGATGGGAAAGACTTGAAAGATATTTGTGCTGGGACAGATCGGTATTCTATGTACAAGGCTGGACCAGTGCTCTCTATCAGTGTAAGTACTTTATAGTGTACCTAAAATACTTCCATTTTCAGGCCAACAATAGCTGAAGAATTTAGCACATTGTTTGTATTTCTTTTTTAAATGTTTCATGTGGACTTAGAGCTTCTGAAAGCTGCTGGATTGAGAGCCCTGGACACGGAATAGGGAACATACTATGGGGAGCAGCATTGCAAGAACAGCCTCAGCATGTTGACCTAGAGCAGGGGTCGGCAACCTTTCAGAAGTGGTGTGCCGAGTCTTCATTTATTCACTCTAATTTAAAGTCTTGCATGCCAGTAATACATTTTAACCTTTTTAGAAGTTCTCTTTCTATAAGTCTATAATATATAACTAAACTATTGTTGTATGTAAAGTAAATAAGGTTTCAAAATGTTTAAGAAGCTTCATTTAAAATTAAATTAAAATGCAGAGCCCGCCGGACCGGTGGCCAAGACCCAGGCACTGAGAGTGCCACTGAAAATCAACTCACGTGCTGCCTTCGGCACGCGTGCCATAGGTTGCCTACCCCTGACCTAGAGGAACTGCCTCTTGGAGTGAGAGGCTAGTTAAGTCTTCATGCCCTTCAGTTCTTGGCCTCTGTGTGGAGACTGCCAAGCATGGTGTCAGTTATGGTAGTAATCTACTGATTATTGGATAATCTATCACGTTAATTTCATGTTGGTTGTCAAGAAGCCATCATATCATAATAACTTCCATGCACCACTGACCTGAGCTGGATTCAAATCTGTGACCTAGAGATAAAAGGCTCCTATCTCCCAAGCCATAAAGACCCCACTTTTAACTGATGGAAAAAGTTTTGGATTCTTCCAAAAAAGCCTAACAGCTAACACTGTTACATTGTTCTCTATTTGCTATTTCCTAGAGATAGTGCATATAGAAATAACAGCATAGTTCAACAAGCCAGCAGGTTGGCCAATAGTTTAAACATAGTGATTACCACAGCAGGTAATTTTCTTCCATCACATCTCTTAGGGCTCATCTATGCTTAAAACTTAGGGCTTGTCTATACTTACCGCGCTGGTTTGGCGGCAGGC